GGTATATCTTCCCATGGAGACAGTTATAATAGGGTGAAAAGGGCACATTTGCCAGAACTTGGAGTCAGAGAACGGGTTCTAGGCCTGCCTCTGCTGCTAGCTCACTGTGCAACCTTGGGCAAAGTGTTCACCTTCTCCAGTTCTTACCTTCCATATCTGTATCATGAGGGGCTCTAGTCAGGACAGTGATTTCAGAGGAGGGAGGTGCTTTAGGGCACTAGGGCAGCCCACACCCCCAACTGCATCAGGACAGCTCTGTATTTGTATCACATATTAGATTTCCATTAAGATTTTATGGAAAGAAAGTATTCTGTGGCCACAAGAATGAAAACCCAGTAGACTTCCTACTTTTCTAATGCTTCTGGAAGTCTATCATTCCCTCTCATGCAGTGTTCAAAGAACTCTTGGGGGAGGTCGAGGCCATGCACAGACTCTTCAACAGTGCACACTCCGGTGCTTTGGCCCAGGATGATGCTTGGATCTCTAGACCTCTCCCTTCTTTGATGCATTCTGAGAAGTCCTTTTTACTCTTCCTGTGAGTTTTGTCAGAATCCTGCCAGGATAGGCTTTGGTATTTATTTCTTTTGTATTGAACCCCACAATGTTCAAGCTGTCTAAGTCATTGTGGTGACTGGCACTAACCTGGCCATTTGGTATCTTCACTACTAATCTGTTTTCTTCTTAGAATCTCTTGATGAAAGGTCAGATTTCAGGCTATGGCCTGTGGAGCTTAACTCAGTGTTTCCCCTCAACTTGGTGTTAGATCACAGTTAGCACCCATGTTCCAAGGTTGTGAAGTAAGTCAGCAAAGACTCAGGCCTCAAAAAATCAGACATTCCTTTTCTGACTCTACCATCAACTAACTGTGACCTTGGATGGGTCACTGACCTTATCTAGGTCTCAGTTTCCCCACTTATACAGTGAGAAGATTATACTGGATAATGTCTTGAGAGTTCTTTCAGCTCTAATATTCAAAGATTCCATGTGATGTAAGCTACTTTTCCCTCTGATAATGGCAGTGATATTCTTAAAGGAGGAAGGGGAAGCGTCCTAACCCCTCCATGGATTTCCATTTCCCTATGGCTAACATGGGGAGGGTGCAAGACCCTATCCCATTTCATCAAGTTGGGGGCAGTGGCTGAGGAGAGTCGGACAGTGATTTGTTGAGTGTCTTATGGGCAGAATATCCGTGATGAGAATGGCTGGCATTGGCATGCCTTCTTTTCTCCCCAGCCAGTTCTGGGGACACTCTGTCCCAGAGCCAAATCTTTCAGTCATAGATTGGTCCCTTCTTACAGAGGGAAAAAGTGACCCATTCTTCTGGTACCTGATATTTCATGTTAACTCTTCTTGCTCCAATTGAAACGCAGGGTTCAGAGCATTGGGTATTTATAGAAAGAAAGTACACTAGGCCAGAAGAACTCTGTCTCCTAAGAGTGGCCACCACGCAGCAGGAAGAAAGTGAGGCAGGCCTTGCTGACATCCTTGCTAATGGCAGACTCTCCAAGGTAGACGTACTGGTGGACAAGTTCAGAGTTGAAGTGGCCACAGAAGAAGTGGTGGGAACCAGAAGAGCAAACACCCAGCAACAAGGGAGGATGATTGCAAGTCCTGAAGATTTTGAGCCACTGTGGGAGGAAGGCCCTGGGGTCAGGGAAGGCCCAGGGGAGACTGTCCTGGCTGCTGGCTGCACACTGGCTGAAAAGCTCCTTGAAGGCTCTGGACTCAGGGTGGACACCAGGCAGGTGACCACCAGGAGCTGCCACATCCCAGATGGGCTAGAGGACTGGACAGAGCAGAGGAAGAGCCTGACAGAGCTCCCGACTTGCAGGAGGCCTACTGCCCCAGGGACCAAGCCAGCAGAGGTGGACATTTCCTCTCCAGCCTCTGACAAGGGAGGACTCCAGTCGTTTCTGTTGGATCCAGCCCACGCAGAAGCCAGAGCCGACTCAAGTGATGAAACCGATACCTCCTTTGTAGAGAGTAGCTTCTATTTAAACTATGGAGAGAAAGACTTAGAAGACCAAGTCCTCCCTCCACCCCTGGAGGTGAGAGAAGAGCCCCTGGATGCCCGATCTGGAGATGAGACCAGCCCAGAGCAGAATTCCTCAGAACTGAGAGCTTCTGCCACAGCTTCCGGCGAGAATGAGGATGAAGGCCCCACAACTTCCTCAGAGGAAGGAGCAGGGCCCTCCAAGAATCACAGAAGACCAGGTGACCTAAAGGGACTTCTGTCACAGACATTAGCTGAAGACTGGGAAGTAGCCCAGTTGGGGGTGGAAGGAGAATTTGTCTACCCATCAGCCAGTGCAGCTGAAGAGACAGAAGCCCCCATGAGTGGAGACCGGTTGGGAAAAACAGAGAAGAGTCTCTCGGCAGGTGTGAAGAGCCAGTCACCTCACAGGGAAGGGGGTGTGCCTCCAGACGGCCAGGCCTACGCCCTTCCGTGGGCCATCCCGCCAAATGTCAGGAAGCCAGTCAAACCAGGCAGAGGCAACCTCCTACCCAAAGAGAGGGAAGTAGCTCACACCCAAAAGGGAGGCCCTGAGAGGGAGGACCGCCAAGCCTCAGCGTTTCTTCACATGGAGGTGGTCATTCCCCTGCCAGCCTCCCCTGGTCATGCGGAGACTCTGCTGGACACTTCCCCAGGCCCAGCCTCTCATGGGTCATGGGAGCCTTCGGAGCTTAGTGACCCCTTTAGAGAACTGTCCCCTGTATTTCTCAGACATGTCCATCTTCCTAAAGAGAATCCAGAGCCCAAGGACCAAGTGGGGTTGGTTTTGCCCCCTGACACAGGAGGTGAGCGCAAGCTACCTCCTGTCACTCGCAGAAAGCCCAGAGCTGTCCCTGAAGAAGCTGAGGGAGCCATGCCCCTGGGGTTGGTGTTCCCTTTGGGGAAACAAAAGGAGATGACGTTTTTCCAGGCTGGAGGCCAAAAGGGTTCCCTGGAAGATATTAGCAAGACCTCGGTGGCCAACAAAATTCGAATATTTGAGACCCATGGAGCTGAAACTCGCCGAGTGAGTCAGGGTGAAACAAGAGCCCTTCCAAATGACTTGTCTTCAGAAACCCCCATGGGACAGGTAGAGCAACAGCGGAGTAAGCTTTTAGACCTGGGCTTCATCCAACTCCAGCCCCTGGGGGACCTTACCAGCCCCAAAGCCATGCGTTCTTTGGGGATGCCTCTGGCTACCAAACACTTTGGCGAGGGCATTTCTACTGCACCTCACCAGGATGGATGCACGGAACTAGAGCTCGCGTCCCCCGATTCAGGCTGTGAAACCACGCTGGAGGAAGCTGCTGGGGTAACTGGCCATGTGAGCCCCACCCTGACCACTACTCCCCACCCGTGGGGGCTGGCCGCATGCTGTGTAGCTCCTAGAAGCATGTTTCATTACTGCAACCAGAGGCTGCTTACCCATTCCTGTGAGTTCTCATCCCTAGACAGGCCTGGGTGCAGCTCAGGCCAAATGATGGGCTCATCTGCCTGCCCACGTTAGCTTGGTCACAGAGACCCTCAGCTTTTGGTGTGACCTGATGCCCAGAGGGTCACACAACCTCCATGGAGAAGGTGGCACCACTGCCAGCTAATTACACACTTGCTTTGCCTTGCTGCTCCCACCTGCTGGGTTCCTACCTATCTTGCTTGGCTTGTCAGCCATCTTTCTTCATCCTTTCCCGTCCCTGTTTCTCCTGCCTTGGGGAAGCTGCCAGTCCGGAGGTTTCCATCCTTTCCTTCTGGTTCCCTCTCAGTCCCAGTGCCGCGTTTCCTTCTGCCTCCTTAAGACTAACTGTCTTCTCTAATCCAGAACAAATCCGAAGATGCGGTCAGGGAAGAGAAGCACTTCAGCAGCTTAGCAGCGAACACCCCTGGGAAGGGGGGGTACCTGAGAGTTGCCAGCCCCTCAGGCCCTCAGGTCTCTGCAGTCCTCTGTGCCCCAATGACCCAGTCATCCTCACCTGGCCAGGATACATCACCTCCTTAGACTCACACCCGCTCTGGCAGCACCTCTTGTGGCTGCTCAACTCTGGCTTGTCTGGAATGCATTCTTCACACAGCTCAGCCTTCCAGAAACTGGCCAAAGGAAGGCTCGTTGAGCAAGTGAATCGCCAAGCACACTGAATCCCTTGAACCTGAAGCCAAGTTCTTTAAAAATGTTTCCTGGGTGTTAGATTGGTCTTAAAAAAGAATGCCATGAGCCAGCCAAAAAAGATTTGTGTGGTTTCTAATCCCTGACAGGCCAGTTGAGAGGTATGTATGTCGGACAAGAGTTGCTGGTTCCCCCAGGCATTGCCTTGGCCTGCTGTTGTCAATTACACTGATGGGGCCAGAACCTTCTCTTCCTGACCTACTGTGGTCCACTCATGGAGCTCAGGGTGGAACTGGCACAGTACTCAGCTCCCAGGAAGCTTGTGGCCAAAGGCCCTGACTCTGTAATGTTCCTCTCTCTAGTTGATGCTGACCACCAGCCCCCCACGGAGACTCAGTGGAATTGACAAACTGTGTTGGCTTCCTCTTTCTTCCTCCAAGCTCTTGGCTCCAGCCTTTCTGCCTTCCCTTCCTGGGTTTCCCTGAATCCCTGCGTCTCCCTCCTGAGTTTCTGTTTCTCAACGCCTGCCTGCACGGATGAGCCTGGCATCTGGGCTTCCATCCTTGCCTTTTGCACAGTGCTGCTTCTTATAGGCTCCCAGATCCAAGCCTTGGATGGAGCCTCCTGTCCAGGGTTCACTGGCAGGATATTTGCTTTCTACTTGCTTTTGCCATTGGTGTGAGACCCTCAGAAAGGAGCATCCCTACTCTTGGGACTTTTTTCTTTTTTTAAAGCTTGTAATTGATTTCAAGGAACCTTTCCTGGGGGTGTTTTTGTTTCCTGATCTGCTCCTCCGTCAGGACGTCAACACAGCCCCAAGCCTTCTTCTGTCATTCACCATCTTTATTTCTCTTTTTCTCTCTCTCTCCCTCCCCACATCCCCATTTCTTTGATTTTATCTGGCCATAGAGAGCAGGGCTGAGGGAGGGCTCGGAGGAGAAAGTCAAACCACCACGACCCCGGGCCCCAGAGAGTGACACAGGAGATGAGGATCAGGACCAGGAGAGGGACGCAGTGTTCCTGAAGGACAACCACCTGGCCATTGAGCGCAAGTGTTCCAGCATCACGGTCAGCTCCACGTCCAGCCTGGAGGCTGAGGTAGACTTCACGGTCATTGGCGACTACCATGGCAGCGCCTTCGAAGACTTCTCCCGCAGCCTGCCTGAGCTTGACAGAGACAAAAGCGACTCCGAAACAGAGGGCCTGGTGTTCTCCCGGGATCTCAACAAAGGGGCCCCCAGCCAGGACGATGAGTCTGGGGGCATTGAAGACAGTCCGGATCGAGGGGCCTGCTCCACCCCGGATATGCCCCAGTTTGAGGTACAGTGGAGCTTCATTGAGACCTGGGCCCACCGGGCACTGCATGCTCAAAGGGCCCTGGGCCACCCGAGAAGACTGAGCAGCCAGCCTGCAGCCCGAAGCTGTCTTGTGTTGCATGACTGCCCCCTGTAGAACAGCATGGTTCTGTGCTCGCATGTTCGCCGTGTCGGTTTACCCCTAACACGTGCTCCTTGGTGTTTAACCCTGTGACCCCATTGCTTGCTGAGGCAATGACAGGCAGTCCTCCTCCTTTGCCTGTGTTGCATGGCACCTGCAGGTAGCATGTGTCTGGACTCTTGGGGACTGCTGCGGCCTGGTCTGAAAGTTGAATGATTTTTCCTGACCCAGGCCCAGGCTGGATCCCTGAGGCCTGGGCTTCCTGTGGAAGGGACAGTAGTTTAAGTCCACTTGGCCCTGGGGTCTCAGGGTGGTGGTAGAAACTCCTGAAGAAGAGAAAATATGATCATTGTGGAGGGACAGAATGTGTCTGGGCCTCTGCTCTGTGGCCCTCTGCGGAACTGCGAGGGAGCTTTCTAAAACATATCTCTGTTCGTGTCATTTCTTTACCCTTCATCTCTTCTAGCCCCAGCCTACCTTCTACACTCTCCTTCCCTCTGTGTTCCAGGCTCTGAAATACAAGCTCATCCACTCTGGACTCTCACTCCATGCTGTAATCTCTGGTAGAAGGGTTTTCTCCCTTTCTGTACCTTGCAGCCTTAATCATGTTCCAGGACAAAGTTCAGATGTAAGTTCCCTAGCAAAGGCTTTCCTGACCACCCTGGGCAGAAGCATTGCCCCCCACAGTCCCCTTGCTCTGTGATGGCTCTGCTCTGGCAAAGTGGTCAGGTCAGTGACTGACAGGTCTGCTCTCACCAGGTGGCAGCTCCTTTAGGCCTGGCATATACTAGGCACTAACAGATGATTAATTGAATGAATGGCTAGATTGCAGGGTTACAATCATCTATAAGAATCCACCTCCTTTGACATGTTGGCTTGTGCCTGTAATCCCAACTACTCAGGAGGCTGAGGCAGTGTATTGCTTGAGCCCAGGAATTTGAGACTGCAGTAAGCTATGATTATGCCACTGCACTCCAGCCTGAGTAACAGAGTGAGATTTCCAACTCCAAAAAAAAAAATCTTCCTCACCACTATCCCTCCAACCGACAATAAACTGACTTTCATTCATTCATTCAATTCACACATGTTAATAATAACTATAGCCATGAACTAGGCCCAGTGGAGGACTCAGAAGAAACTGATTACTTAAGACTTCTATAGTAGAGGCTGTAAACTGGCCAGCAGATGTGTTTCTTTGACTCTGATTTAAAAATCAGGACATTGAATATAAAATCCTGGTTATTCTTATACCGTTAAAAAAAAATGAGACCGTCACTCAGAGGCCATGGTCACAATTGGCCAAACCCGAGTAGGATCCCACATTCTCTCTACTCCAGCCCAGTCCTCAAGGAGCCCACTTCATCCACATGCATCTCCTGTCTGGCTCCTGTAGTCCTCCAAGCATGTGCCGCTCTTGCTCTGAAGAAGGGTTTAGCTGAGGCAGCCGGGAGGTGGTGGCCTAACCCTGGAAGTCCTTCAGGATTCAGTGACATTATGCATATAAGGAAAACACTTAGAGTGGGGCCTGGCACCACGTGTATTCATGGAATAGTAGATACTCTTCTAACGGTCATCTAGAAAAACGGCATATAGCCATCATGAGATTGTGTGGTGCAGAGGCGTGGACAGGCCCCCTGGGAGTAGGTGGTGGTCTGACTGTCCCCTGGCTGTTGTCTATGCCATCACAACTATGCCTCTTTTGCCTTGTCCTGCATACCCTTCCAGAGACTTGGCCAGCTGTGGGAGCAGGAGATGACCTGCTGACCCCACACCACAGTTGCCTGTGAGCAGGAGTCATGCCAGGGCTTGAGTTATGGAATGTTCTCCTTCATCCCCCTACAGCCTGTGAAAACAGAAACCATGACTGTCAGCAGTCTAGCCATTAGAAAGAAGATTGAACCAGAGGCTGTACTGCAGACCAGAGTCAGCACTGTGGATAACACCCAGGTAACCTGTGCCTTCCGATGTACCCTGAGCCCTTTGGCCAGTCCTCACCTAGGCTTCCTCAGAATCCCCATCTTAATCCTGATGCTTTTCTGGGTCCCAGTGTCCTCCCTGAGCTCTGGGAGTGGGCGTGGGGTGTAGCGAGAGGGTAAGTAGATTCTTGTCCTGGGCAGAGCATACCTCTTAAAGTCTCAATGGACCCGTCTATAAAGTAAGAGCCATCTTGTCTCCCACTTCCTCCTGGGAGTATTGGGGGAACTGGTGACTCGTGGATCAGGACCTTGGCTTTCAGGTTGCTTGGAGGAGTTGGAGAGATTTCGTGAGGTATCCCAGAGGCCACCTGGGGAGAGAAGGAGGGAGCGATCCCGATCCAGCTTTAGTCAAAACAGCTCATCTTGGGTCATTTTTTTGTGCATAGGGGTTCCATATCAGATTGGTAAAATGAACAAAGTGAAAAACACAACAGGATGAAACATACTCAGCACCTTAAGAAAGTAGTCTGTGAATAGACACAGGTGCGCTACTTGATGTGCATTCCCTACATTCCTTTTGTGGTCTTTAAACTTTGAACATTAAAGTTATGGGTCTGCTAGATGCCCTGTTAGTTTTTCCTGGTCAAAAGAGCTATAGTGCTGAGGGCTTTTTGACCTGAGACCATTCTTTGTCTCAAGATCTGAAAAAGGGCAGAAATCAACACAACATGGGCAACTCTTATTGCCAGAATTTTTTCTCCCTCTTTTCTCGTGATACTAGGGGCTCTGAGGCTGCCTACCACAGTTCAGTACTCTGAGTCCTGATGAGCTGTGTGACCTTAGCAAGCTGCCTTTCCTCTCTGGCCTACTTTGTTTTAGTAACATGTGTTTTGTGTTTGTTTTTTTTTAAATTATGGAGAAACTAAAAATGGCCCTAAATCCCATAGCCTAGTAACCCTATTGACACCATGGCAAAACAAGGAAGTTTACAGCTACAAAATTCAAACCAATGGATTTTTCCTTATGCTACCTGTCAGAAGATGATTTATGCCTATTCTGACACAGATATCTACATCTCTACATACTTAAAATTTTTACACAAAGCAGTGATTCTCTTTTACATACCACCTTTCTTTTGTGATAATTATTGTGGCGATCACTCCTTGTTGACCTGGATAGACCCATTCCTCTTCCTAGTCTTGTTTGGGAGGGGAATCCTAACTTATTTTGCCATCTGCCACTGGTGGGCCTGTGGTGGTTTTGGTCTTATGCAGTACATGACCAGGGCTGCTTGTTCATACTTCTTGGCAAACCTTTCCAAGTTTCTATCCAAAGAGTAAATTCCTAGTGATTGCTAGGTGAAAGGTTATGTACACTGAAATTTGGATAAAATTTGCCAAATTGTCTGGGATTGTTTTGTCTTTGTCCAATAAAATGGTTGAGATGAAGCGGAAGGCCTGTGAGGCTCCTCTGTAATTCGGTCTGTATGTGGCCTGCCGCCAGCGATGTCACTTTGTGACAGGGAATGCCGTGAGCCCAGGTGCCAGATGCTGCAGATGTATCTGGCTCTCTGTCTCTGATGACTCCCTCTCTGGCCAGCAGGTTGATGGGAGTACCCCGGCAGGGAAGGAGTTTTTGACAACTACTCCCTCCATCACCACAGAGACCATATCAACCACCATGGTAAGCAGAGCTCAGGAGGCTTCCCTCTCTGACCAGCCCCCTCACCTCCAAGACAGCCAGGTGGCCAGCTCACGCCAGCTGGCTGCTTCAGGAAGCCCTTTGCTGCCCTCACTGAATCAGATATGGGCCATACAGTCAAATGATTTTTGTCTGGGACCTTAGTTGCCACAGGACGTACAGTCAGATCTCCATTTTCCAAACTGAATAATGTCAGAGGTGGACTCTCTGAGTCTCGGATATCTGGATCAGCTCAGCCTCGGCGGGATAGGGGAAGGATGGTTACCAGACACCAATCTCACCTCCTAGGGAGAGTCCACTGGTAACTCTCATCTGAGCTCTGGAGGTGAGCCTGCATCCTTCCACGTCCTGGAAGCTGCACAGCTTTTCATGTCTCGGACCACTTCCTGGCCTTGGTCGGTAGATGGCGTGCAGTGAACGTGAGTTGGAAACTCAGGCTTTTGGCCCACTTCCTGAGCGACCTTATGGTCTGCTGCCTATTTGCTGTCTGACCCGTGAAGGAAGGTCCTTGGCCTCAGGTGTCCTCATCTGTAAAATGGCAGTAATCTCCACTCTGCGTTCCGTAAGTGACTCCAGTAACACCAGATCCCCTAACGATGAAACAGAACAGAGAGCATTTGGCACACAGGTTACAGTCCAGGCGATGTGCTGAGAATTTTGAATGGATTATCTCACTGGATCCTCACCGAAGCTGTGAGGTAGATGTTCTTTCTTCCACATCCTTTACAGATGAGGAAACTGAAGTTCAGAGAGGTAAAGTGACTTACCCAAGGTCATACAACCAATAAGTGGCAGTGCCAGGGAGCCCCACTTTCCACCCCGGCCATTCTCTCTTATTCATTTTTTTTTTTTTTTTGAGTTGGAGTCTCACTCAGTCACCCAGACTGGAGTGCAGTGGCTGCTCCCGGCCACCGCAGCCTTGCCTGCTGGGCTCCGGCGATCCTTCCGCCTCAGCCTTCCGAGTAGCC